TTTGTTGGCCCAGTTGCAAGTCTACCCTCATCTGCAACTCGGGAGGGTGTTGTTTTGTTTTCACCTCAGTTGCAAGTCCACCCCCGACTTGCAACTCGAGAGATGTAGTTTGTAATCGCCCCAGTTGCAAGCCAACCATGTACTCGCTACTCGGGGAGGGTGTTGTTTGTTTTCGCTCCAATTGCATGTCCACCCCCGACTTGCAACTCGAGCGATGTAGTTTGTAATCTCCCCAGTTGCAAGTCAACCATGTACTCGCAACTCGGGAGGGTGTTGTTTTGTAGTTTCCCTAGTTGCAAGTCCACCCTCGACTCGCAACTCGGGGTGGGGGGTGTTGATTTTTGTTCTTGTTTCATAGTAGTTGCAATTAGACCCTCGACCTGAAACTAGGGGTTTCTGTCGGCCCAATTGCAAGTCCACCCTCGAATTGAAACTCGGGAAGGTGTTATTTTGTTTTCACCCTAGATGCAACTTGCCCGAACCCTACCCAATTGCATGTCCACCTTTGACATGCAACCAAGGATGGACTTGCAGTTGCATGACTCGACCCTTTGTCCCAGTTGCATGTCGCTAATAAAACAACAAGGCCCACTAATACCTACAATAAGGACCACGGGAGGGGGGGGGGCGCTAATACAATCACTAACCTTAGCGATCGCTCACTATTCGCTCATAGTAAGTTGGACCGTTTGTGTTGTTAGTGAGTGGTTTTTGGGAAGCGACCGAGGATTCTTGGGAGCGAGTTGTGGTTTGGGGATCCGGTTTTAGGAACCTTTTTGGTGGTTTTGGATGGTTGCAACAGGCTTTTTTGTTCTTTTTTGTCTATTTTCCTCTTTTGGGGTTTCTGGTTATTCTATTTGTTTTTTCATTATTTTCTTATTTTCCTTTACATTTTGTTTTAAACTTTTTGAATCTTTTTTTCAAATATGTGAATAATTTTAAATTCGTGAACATTTTGGAACTTTGTGATTTATTTATTTTGAATCGACGACCATTTTCTGAATCCAGAACAAATTTTAACAGTTTTGGATGCACGATCAATTGTTCAGTGTGTGTTTTAAAAAACATTTAGTGTATATTATAAAAATGTTTTATCATATTATTTAAAATGGTTCTACGTATATTAGAAAGGTTAAGTTTGTATTAAAAAAACTAGTGTGTATTAAAAACTTTCAGTGAATATAATTTTAAAGGTTCATTGTATCTAAAAAAGTTCATTGTATATTTAAAAATTTAAATGTATATTACCACAAATTCGTGAACATGTTTTTGATTTTTTTATCAAACTTTGTCTATTATTGAAAATTAATGCATAAAATATAAAGAGTGGAACGGAAAAGCAAAAACAAAAGGGCAAAAAACAAATCATTTGTTGCCTACTAGAAGCTAGCGATCAGAGACACACCGCTAAATAGATGGCAATAAAATGCAAAATCCAACAAAATTGATGGTAGAGCTACTTTATT